GTGTACATGGCATACCGGTCGCCCCGGTGGTCTAGTGAGTAACCTCGCAGCCTGCTAAGGGCCAGGTCATGGGTTCGAGTCCCGGCAGAGTGAGTTTTTTCTCGCAAATTAAATCCTGGTATAGGATGAAAGCGACGCGCTGCAAAGCTCGTTGTTAGTAAACCATAATCGACTTCGTAAGTCGCGAGGGAAGGGATCGCTGTACCATTCTCGCGATAAAAATACTTCAGGCAGGAACCGCAGGAGGGGGTCCAGCCCCCCCCCCCTATGTGACCCCGGTTGGGTCTATAATAGTAGAAGTGGAGGATAGGGGCCAAAAAGCGGCAGACGACAGAGTCCAATGATGGGAGAAAAAAAAAAAAATGGTAGAATAGCAGTAGTCAAATGCATTTGAATCAACACGCTACTATTTTGACAGGTTCGTGTTTCGTGTGTTCCTTCTTTCGTTGGGTGATGAAGCAGAGGGGTGATTCAACATTAACCTATCTGTAGGTTCTCAGGGTTAAATAGATTTGCACCTCCGCGTAATCCGTTCTCCAATCAAAATGCATTTGGAGTGTTGCGGTATAGTTTGGCAAATGGTATATATATAGTCTATATATATTATTTTTTTTTCGTCCCATCTCTGGCGCCGCCTGCTTACTCCTCTTCGGTGCACACAACACGTTTGCCGCGTATCTGCACTTATACTTCTCAGCGTACTTGGTACACTACAACTAGCTAGACGCACCATCCGGGGTCACACAGGAGGGGGATTGGTGTCGGAGATTGGTGTCGTGTTGATTTCCAGGTGTACCCTGAACTTGGTGATAATCCATCCCGGAACCCGTTCTGGGTACTTCTCTTTGTGGAAAAAGCACAAACCCTTGTTCACAGGAGACAAGAGACTGCGAGGCTGCCTGGACAAGGATCTCTCGGGTTCCACCAACAACACAAACAATGCTGCTATTTGCTACTCCCTCCGTCTGCGGATCGTCAATAGTGCTGTAGGTACAAACTGAGGTGATGCCCTCCTCCACTCTGGCGCCGAACCAACCTTGTGCGGGTTGTTCGTTGTTTCCAGGTAGGGTCTCTCCTCCGAAAACAGCAACAGAGATTCACCAGAAAGCTAGGACACCGGCAATTGGACAGGTCCGAGACGGTTTGCTGCGGGTGTACCCCACGCATGGCCAAGAAGGACGCGCGGGAGGGACGGTACAAGTACAGCAGCATCATCCTTCTGTATCGTTGGTTTGTTGGTTCGCTCCCCTCGTACCTGGCCGATGGTCTCGAGCAGCCCTTTGATCTCCGCCTCAGGCAGGGAGGATGGAAAACCCTTGATTGTCATCATGGCAACCATGGCAGATTAATGTTTTTCGAACTTACTGCTGCAAAAGGTCGGAGGCGCTTCGCTTGGTGGTGGAGAGCGAGACAGACGGAGCTGCAGGGAGAGGAAAGTAAGAGCAAGGACACAGAAGTGCGGCAGCTGCGACAGATGCTGTAGGGTCGTAATATTGTCTGAGGTGCCCCCGCGAACCGGTATGAAACCGTTCCCCAAAATGTGACACCCCTAACACCGACGCCTCAACCTCCGTGTGTGTCGGTGTCATGGCGCTGGATGCCGGACCATATACAAGTTAGGGGGTGGATTGTTGTGGGGTGTGGACGTATGTCCTTTCACGTCTGCATGCCGGTTCAGAGAAGAGAGCGAGCGCTCCTTTCTTCGACGCACTTCTCAACAGCATCGTGCATTGGGTAACATTTTGTGTGAGCCTGCGACAATGGCAATTCTTGGTTATCCTTGAAGAGTACCATATCGAAGAGTAGGTATCTATTGGGTTGTGGCAGAACGTTCCTAGTGTACAAACGACCGACTACAGCAATAGCGGTACAGGCGGCAACGGCAACAAACAGCGTCAGCGACAACAACAAAACGGCAACGACAACATAACGACACCACCACTACCACCACCACCTCCACCTCCACCTCCACCTGCACCATCACCTCCACCTGCACCATCACCTCCACCTCCACCATCACCACCACCAACAGCAACAAGAACAACAACGACAATGACACGCAGCGTGCGCAGTTCTATACCTTCTATCCTCTTGGTGTTTTTGAGCCGGCTGGGGCGTGACCTTCACCGTATATTTTTCTCATCAGCCTCGTCTTCAGGCGGTAGTCTAGGTTGCACAAACATGGTGAAGTACTCTAGTAGGAATCATTCGTCGACTAGCCTGTAGGCAATGGGCCTAAACCATTGGACTTGGCGGACGAAATAACACCAGCCGTGTACACACAAGGGAAGGTCGCAACCAATTTCCTAGCTCTTGTTGTTGCCAACTTGTGTCATTGTGCTGTGCTATGGGTCCTCGAAATCATCTTCAAAGTCATCTCCATCCTCGTCGGACAGCTCTGGTACTCCTGCTGTTGCCGGCGCTGCTGCTGCTGTGGCTGTTGCTGCCGCTGTTATTCCCGATGGTGTTAAAACCTGATCCACAGACCCCCTTCGCGCTCCGTCCTCTTCGCGGTTCTCCGCCTGGTTGTCAAGGACCTTTAGATGTGTATCAATTTGTGAGGGGAGTAGCGGCGGACAAATGCGGTCGGATGATGCTGGAGGTGGTGATGAGCCTTGCCTCCGGGGAATAGAATTGTGGGGTCGAGGGCTGACGCACCCGTCTCGTACGATGAGGTGGAACACCCGCTACAAACAAAGCAACGTGCGGCACTCTGTATGGTTGCACATCTAGAGGTCCTTCACGCTATGCACACGGCAGTGAAAAATATACAATGCACGCATTCTTTCAGTTTGGTGTGACTAGTCAAGCAACTTAGCATGACACTAACATGCGTGGAGATTACTCGCTCGCCTCTCACCTCCTCCACGGATTGCCTTGACCCCATAGCTTCTCGTTGAGACGATTCTCCACACGGTTCTCTTTCTTCACTTCCGGTGACCGACTCATCTCCGGCTCCTGCTGTTGCTATGGATTCTGGAAGATGCAAGTCTTCCGACTCGCTAAAGGCCTCAGCCCCCCCACCGCCGTCCTGTTGTGCAGACGCTACCAAGGTCTCCTCTCTACTACTAGCCTCTGGAGTGCTGGTTTTCTGCCTTGTTTGGACGTTATCGAAACCAACAACCCTATCTTCTTCGTCCGATCCCGCTGAGGCAAAATCTTCCTCGAAATCCTCGAAGTCCTCGCCTTCTGTCATCGAATGCGTTTCTTTTGCTTCCCCGCCCCCCTCCGCTTGTTCCCCGACTGGACCACGAGATAAACCTTCGTCCCTCGGTTCTTCCCCACTCAGGGAGGGCGAAGGCACATCTTCAGGTGCTGCTGAGAGATGACGCTCTTTCTTCATCGTATTTCCTGCACCTTCGTTTTCGTCGTCGACTTCTGCGGCGGGGTTCCCTTCCAGCGATGGCGATGGCGATGGCTCTGCTGGAAAGGGCGTATCACCCGGCACCGATCTCACCTCCTCAGTCCCTGCCGTGTCCCTGGTGGGTGGCTGAGCTGGGTCCGCTTCCTCTTGTTCAAACTTCATTTCAAACTCACCTTCTTCCGCTGCGTCTGCGACGACCGCAATGGCTGGGACAGCATCGCTATCGGCTCCCGACTCTTCGTCTCTGCTCGATGTGGATGTCTGAGGAACCAACCTCTCCTGGTTCGTTACTAGTGGAGGGTCCTCCTGTACCCCGACCTCCTCAATAATGTCTTGTACTGAATCGTCGGTCAAGAAACAATCGTTCTCGTTGGCGTGATCGGTGGACTCCGGGGCAGAGACAGGTACACTGGATTCTGCTGCTGCCTCTGCTTCTGCTTCTGCGTCTGCTTCTGCTGCTACTTCTGCTGCTGCTACTTCGTGGGTGTCTCCGCTTCTTACACTCATTTCTTCGGTGTCGTTGTCGTCCGCGGTGTCTGCAAAGCGTCCTTCGAACTCGATTAGCGATGTTCGGCTGGTATTGGGCGGCTCACTCTGCCCCGAAGGTTGCCGTTGTTGCATGGCTGAGGGATTTGTCATAGAAACCACCGCTTCCGTACCAATATTGCCATCCTCCGGGTAATCATTCTGGGTTGCTTCCGCTTCTTTGGTGCTTGCCGTACTGTCCACTGCGAGGCTGGGGGCGTCGGACCCGCTGCTTTCGGACACGCGTTCCAAAGCCGAGCTTGCAGCTGCTGCTACTACTGCGGCCGCTACTTCTGATGCCATGCTCGTTTGGACATCGTCCTGAATGGCTTCCTCCGGAGCATCCTCGAACTCGGAGGCGTACCCCTCACCCGCAGAAACCTTAGCCATGTTCCCTAACGAATCTATGGATATCGACGCCAGTGATAGGTCATCGGTGTGGTGTGTGGTTGTTGTCGGTAGTGACTGTTGTTGAGCTTCGTCGTCCCTAGTCTCCAAGTCACCCCCCTCGTGGGATTGCACCTCCTGCGTACTCCCTCCCTCTGCCAGCAGCTCTCTTTCGGCTGCATCAGCCCCTCCGGGTTCGTCGACAGCTGTTGTTTCTATTGACACGCTCGGATCGCTTGCCGTTTCGCCCGGTGACCGTCTAAGGCCGTCGTCTGGTTCTTGGACGTATTGCTCAGGTTCGGCTCCCGCTCCCGTGGCACTGGTTCCCTCCACGTCTCCGAAGTCTTTGTCATAGTTCTCTGACCGCGGCGTTTGGCTTGCCAGTGCGCCACCTCCCCCCGCAGCAGGAACATCGATTGACGAGGAACGTGCTTCTTCCGGTTCTACAAGGAAGGCAGCCGTTCGGTTCGAAGGTGCAACAACGTTGGTCTTGGCGCTTTGGTCATGCTCGTCTTCTTCCTCCGATAATTCGTTTCCGTAGTCATCTTCGGCTTTACTCTCCTCCCTCGCATGAACGCCTTCCGATGGCCTTCCGTCATATTCAGTTCCACATGGTCCGGACACAACCAACTCTGAAACGGTAGTCTTGTCGGGGCACACATCGGCATCAGAAAGGGCAGATCCCGTCGTACCACCTCCCCCACGGACGACGTCGGATGCTGCTGCGGTTTCTTCACCTGCACGCGCTAGCTGGTCAACCCGTTCCCGGATTTCCATTTGATCGTCCTCGTCGTCGTAGAAGTTTTCGTCCTCGTCGGCAGTGAAATCGTCCGCGTAGGAGCCGCTTTCTTCAATCCCCGCCCCCCCAAGAAGCCCTGGGCCGGCTTCGTTGTTGTCCTTGACAGTGAAATCGTCGGCGTAAGAACCGCTGGCTTCCATCTCTGTCCCCGCGAGGCCCCCCTGGCCATCGTCGTTTCGGGACTCGGCAGGAAGAGCTTGTGCTTGTTCTACTGCCTTCGTTGTTTGGACGGCAGGCTCCTCCTTCTCGCGGTCGCCGGTGATCTCGCCAGCTAACGCCATGTTTTCGTGGCTATCCGCCGGATGAGGGCTTCTGATCTGCTTTTGCAGAGATCGGGAAGAAAGAGCAGGGGGGGGGCATCTTTTAGCACGCCTGCCGAGAAGATCTAGATAGAGTCTTGAACTGATGTATATCTGATGGTCTATCTGCTACGTCTATTTAGGCAATAGGGTAACGGGCAGATGTTCAGCGTCCTGCACACTTTAGACGTGACGAAAGCCAACAAATACGCGGCCCGTAAAGGACCTCCCAACCATCATCACCATCGATAACAAGCAGGGCTGCTGATAAGTATTCCGAATGTTGGACCCCGTACCGACTTTTCCTCCAACACAGCAACCTCAACAGGTTCCACCCCAGACTGGTTTCCAGTGTTCTCGTCCGCCGCGTCGGCCCCATCTGCGTCAACGACGGTTGGCACCGACTGAGTGCCCGCCCCATCCCTTGCGGAGCACTCGCTTCCGTCCCCCTCGGCCTCGACTAGGGGGCCTAGGTCATCGACCCTCGAGCCCCTCATCGCCGGTGGGTGCGATCTTCGCGGCTTGGGACTCCTCTGCGCCGAACCTTGTGGCGGCAAGGCCGCCGCCCTGGGGTCTTCGTTCGAAGGCGATGGTGTGGACTCTGGATTGGCTTCGGCGTTCACGACCCCCCTCGGGTCCGCTTCTGTTCCGTCGCCGTCCGCGCTAAGGCTGATAGAAGCTGATGTGGCGGCGGTGTTCTTTCTGTTCTTGTCAGAACACGGCTCGATCTTCTTAATGGGCACGAGGACCAGCCGTTGCGTCCCGGCCGCGACGTCCGGCTTCATTTTCAGGCGTCGGGTCAGGGCGGTTGCCAGGGCCGAGGGCGAACGGGTCGCGTTGCTCCCGAAGGCATCGACTTTGTTGCGGGACAGCGAGAGCCAGAAGGTGTCCCGCCTCACTCGGTCGAACGCGCGGACGATCAGGCCACCCTCGCCGCTCTTGCCCTCGAAAAGCGACAGCACGTACGACGCGCCAACATGAGGAAGCTTGTGGAGCGCCTTGTAGATAAGCCTGACCTCACATCCGTCGACGTCATCGCTGCAATCTGTCGGATTTTCTTGGGCATGGGCAGGAGGAACCACCTGAGTCTCGTACCACGGCTCAAGAGCCATCCCGCTCCAATCTGCGAACTCATCACAATCTTGCAGCTCCTCGAGCGCCCACGCACAGAGACTGGGTGAAGCACAAACGGGTTGGGACAAGGCGAAAAGGATCTGCTTCACCTCCGTGTTTCGTGTGATGCTTTTTTATCATACATGCCCAATCGGACGCAAAGCATAAGTACCAGGGCGGTTTTACGTCCCAGTTCAATCGTAACAACCGTTGCAAGTCCAACACTTCCCACTTTTACACAAAAAAAATGCGATCCACGTGCACCTTGTGTGTTGGACACTGCGTCATGACACAGAAAAAGTTGTAATAGTTTCTATCTTTGGACCACGTCCCCCCCTTACCTGGCCACCGCGTGCCCGCCTTGCCTCTCGATCACCTCGGGGAGAAGGTGCTCTCTCTGAAGCACCGGCGCGAGGAACTGTGCCTTGGACGAGCTTGCCCGTTGTCCGGAGGTCTCGTGCAGCCTGCGCAGGAAGTCCTCGGCGGGGAGAGCCACCGCCTCGAACCCTTGCGGCCAGAGGAAATCCGAAGGCAGCTGGTCTTCGGGGCCGAGGAGGAACACGACCGCCGCACACACCGCCACCGTCGCTGGCAACGGGTTCAACTCTCTCAATATCTGCTCGATGTCGTCTACGGTAAGGCACGACAAGGCGGCCGAGTTTCCGTCTCCGAAGCGATCCGGTCGACTCCAGACGTCGGCCCCCCCTCGCTCACTGCTGTGCCCCCCCCCCCCCCCCGCCTTGAATTGGCCCCCCTCCTGCCCGTGCGCGGGAACCCCCTGTGTGCTTCTCGTCTGCTGGCGAGGTGGCGGGAAGCCTCTCTGGTGGTGATTCTGTGGCCTTTCGCCGAAGAGATCGGCGCCGCCGTTGTCACCGTAGGTGCCATCGTTAGACAATCGTCCTGTTGCATCTCTTTGGCCCGCCTCCGAACCCCCTCCTCGCCCCGAAGCAGCAGCAGCAGACATGGTATAACCCGAGCGCTTGCCGCCGCGAGCAATGGTCCCAGGCGGTTTTCGATGAAGCGCGGGGGGGGAAGAGCCACCCATCGAATCCCCGAGCTCTTCTTTGCTCCAGAAGCGTCGGGAGCTAAGGAAATACTCCTCGTCTGCGGGGCTGCTGCTGAGAGACACCAGCTGGGACCTCGCCTGCTCGTACCTGCGTCCGGCCGAGTCACGTGGGAATATTACAGCATCACTGGTTGACGGAGATCGCGGTTCTTGGCAACGCCTTACTCAGCAGTAGTAGTCTAAGCCCTGTGGGGTAAGGGCAATGAAACTACGCGTGTGTGCGATCGGGGAACAGACGATGCACGCGCTCGTAATAAAGCATCACGTCGTTGTTCGTAGATACTGCTGCGAAAAAATGATTCGAATCGTCCTCGACACACACTGGAGAGACATGAGCCCTATTGCGGAAGGAGGGGATCATTGTCCCCACACCAATTGGCCGACGGGTCTAACTAAGCACCTATTCACAATACGAGAATTCGAGCCGTCACAATCAACTTGCCTTTTTCGCTGATTTTTTCGAATCACTTTGCTCGATCTCGTTGAGAAAAGGGAAAAACCTCAACAACATAGTATCCAATACCAAACCGCCTGTTCTACAACACCGCGCGCGTAAAAAAATAGGCGACTCACCACGTGGAAAGCCCCCCCTGATGTCGTCGGAGCTCCTCGTCATCCGTGACCGGGTCTCTGCCGCAAGCAAAGCTACTCGCCGAGTAGGAGAAGGGCCTGACGTCAGTGCGCTGCGACCCTCCCTTCCGTACGCTGCTGGTCGTTGCGCACGGCCGCGCCGCACACCTTACATTACCCGCGTTGAACCCGTGTCGCCCGCTGAGCTCTGTTTCCGATCGGTGTGTATTTTGACGGGCAGGCGAAACGACACCCCGATGACTCGTGTTTGTATGAGGGCATAGAGTCTTTCACAGACCCCTCGAGTTTGTGCCTCACACGATAGTGCCCACGGTGTGCCATTGTTCTACTTACCTTAGGGTAGTGATGGCTAGAGAAATAGCTCGCATTGCCAAGATGATTGCTGAGCTGAGAATATGTTTTGATATGACATGAGGTATTGGCGGTTGGCGTAGACTTTGGTTGTTTTTACAGAGATTCCTGACGTAATATACCGATTAACGAACGGAAGGACGGGCAAAGCCAGTGGTGGCCAAGCAGGCACAAGCTGATTGCCGATCTTCACTACGTCTTTGTCAACGCACAGCATTGCGATATGCTTAGAAGAGACGGCGTGTGGACATACGCACGCTGCCTTCGCTATCAAGACTGACCTGGTGACGTTTCACCTCGGCCTGATGTAGCCGCGACGATCTTGCTTGATTCTTGTCGGAGGTAATCCCGTTCCCTCTCGAGACCTTCCTCGTCCAGAAGAACCTATTAAATTCAGCGATCGAACACAGGCACGCATGTACACTATTTGTTCCCGGTGTGTACGCGTCAGATGACTTCGAGCCGTACAAGAACATGAGCCTATGACTCTTGAAACCGCTTTATCCGGTTTCTGCTTGATTTCTATGCTTGATCGAGTCTCGCATGAAGGAGTGACAGACTTCTGTATGAGACAGGCTTCAACGGCTCATACGGTTTCGGGGTGGTAGAAAAGCATCCCTGCCCGCTGTATACTTAGCCCGGTGATGATATCCTTTGTTCGAAAAGAAATATACATCTACGGCTAGCGGCGAAGCAGTTATCATTCTGATAACCTATGCTTGATGACCTATGCTTGGGTACTTTCGCGTATGCGCATTGTATGTACGCAGCGCTATGTAGCTGCAACCCTCCAACTCCATCTTCTCTTTTTTAAAATCTTAGGTAAGGTGTGGCGTTGGCGGTGCGTTCACCTGAGCCACCTGGTACAAGTGTCTTCTCTTCCCCGCCCCCGGGGACGTGGTGTTGACTCCGCTCTCGCAAAGCTCTCCGTCTCGTCGTTGTTCGTCAAGCGTTTGTGGCAGCATCAACGGGTTCCGACAAAACCGTGCCGGATGCATCTGCAACGGCGAAAGCGTGGGGATTTTGAACCACACACGGGTGCAAAGTAAGTGTACGGTACTCGTAGTGAGACGGAACAGCGCCAACAGCACGTACCAAGGATATTTATGTAGCGTGATTTGAAAGATCCATGATTCATAAGAATGGGGAAAGCACGTGCATGACATGCGGGAACACAGAACCAAGCCCACCGACTGTAAAAAACGTCCAAACGTGTATACTTCTGTAGTCTACGGGTGATACCTTTAGAGTGTCGACCAAGGGTTGCACCCCAGCAAGAAAGTTGAGGTCGTTCGTGATCTTAAGTAGATAGTTGTCTCCGTGCCATACGAACGCCGGTGGCAAATGCCCGGTCATATCCTTCCTCCACACTGAAATGGCTTCGATCACGGCGACGGTGGCGTCCCGCATTCTGGACAGCAAAGCCACAACGCCGTTGCCGTCCTCTGTATTCCGAGCCGTCGTGCCGCTATCTGCCGTCGCCTTTGCGGCGGGGAGCTGGAACCGCTTTCGGAGGCTACCGCAGACGGCTTCCAGGCGAGACAGGAGGCACTCTCTCGTCAGGATGTGTTTGAGCACGAGCAACTCGCTTGCAGGATCGCTGCCGACATGATGCTGGAAATCAAACGCCGATGCCACAGAGCTGAAGGTGGTACCCGGCCCCGTTACCGGACTGAGGGACACGCTTGGGGACCGCTGAAGTATTTCGTCAGAGCTTCTCGAACAAGCGATTAGTCCTGGGGCGCCCCTTCGTCGTCGGTGTCGAGGGCAATTCCTCGACGATGATTGCTGCTGTGCGAACATGGCTTCGGGTGACGTACTGCTGCTCTCGGCTTGGGCTGAAAAGGGAGTGTTCTTTGCCCTTTCGAGTTCGCTATGCACGTGCGGAGGCTGTGGGTGTGCTCGGAGCCAATCCTGTGCTGTCGCCATGGCACCCTATCCTTTCCTTGCGAGCAACTGGGCATGAGCAAGCCCCATTTATGCCACACTTCCAGAGCGGACCCCGTCTGCACGTGTCCAAAAGGCGTCGATGCCAGGTATTTTGTTTGAAGTTTGAACAAGAGGAGCGAGTACTTTGTGCATGTAGTCGAAACGTAACTACAAAGTCATGGGCGTTTCGTTCTTTGGCTTATTTTATAGCGGTCGGAGGGAGAGGGAAAAAAAGAGAGAAAATGGCGCGTATGTTTGCTCCGCTGGTTGAGCCATGTTGCTGTGGGTCACGCTCTGTTCCCTGATCCCTGTGTGTTGAACGTCAGCGTCTGCTGCCAGTCATCCTACTTCGCTAAGACCGGTGAGATGTGTTGGATCGATCGTCCGTCTCCAAAGCTTCGCTGTGCCGGGAGCTTTGGCGCTGCGCATGTTTCGGTGTGTATGCTGTGGTGTACAAAGTCTCGGCCACCTGTGGGGCACATATGCAGGCAGCCTGCATCGTCGACAGAGTTCAAGCAGCAGATGGCAGTGCGTGGTAGGGTCTGTAGTGGCTGCTTGGCTCGTCCACCTTGTGGCTTGTTAGCCATCTTCGGTGCAGAGAAGTTCGAGAGCGGATTCAACGACGAGAAGCTCGAACGTAGATGAGACAGGAATAGCACCAAGCTCTCGAGCTTCTGCTGCTGCGCCCAAGCGCGATTCCGCGGCACGTCCAACGGTTAGCGCTCCTTCCTGCTTTGCGGCTCCTTGCATGAAGTCTCAAGAGCGCGTGTGCGTTGCCTCGTATAGCTGCTGCGAGTTGAGTTCGATTAAGCGCTACATGCTTAGAGAGGGTGCTCATTGGTTGGGTGGAAATTTCTGGCTTTCGGACACATCACACGACGAAAACAGATACACATCAACAACCGAATTTCGCCGGCGAGGATTTCACTGCCTTTTAGACCGGGCAGTTCATTCCAACACCTCACGACTCATGTAGTGTAATTAAATAGAACGTAGGTGCATTCATACACCACGAATGATTGGGGTGACCGAGCAGGGAGGTTGGCGGTTGTGTCGTGCATAAAATGCCGGTCTCAAGTCACTGCGAAGATGCACATCGCTGTGCCTGGCCTAAAATGAGAATTGTTTGACTGCTCGTGCAGCAGTGCACACGTATGTGTGTGCTGAGGGTCGGAATGCCTGCATGTGTCAGCGTCCTCAGCAGGGTTTATAGCTGCAGTAGCGTTTCATCCGCATGACATATGCATAGAAAAACATGTGTCCCCTTGTGGCATTTTTATCCTTCACACAATTATCATGGCCGAGCTGCACTTCTATTTCACGTAGCCTTGAAGCCTGGTGTGCCTCCGTGGACACGAGGTACACGAATTTGTAGACATGGCAGTATTCTAGAAGCACGACCCCGAAGATAGCACCACCCCTGACATAATATGTCGTCGTATGCATAGACTTTCATGATGTTTTGAATCAAGTCGATGTCCCACGATTAGGTCATTGGTCTGTCATCGCCGGCCAAGGAGGTATGCACACATGTACAAAGCACCAAAGGACCGCCTACGCAGGCATTAAAGAGTATCTATAATAGAGAAAGAATAGGGAGGGGGCACGCAGACCCTATCCCTAACCCTAACCCCAACCCTCAATCACGGATTGGATACTCTATCCCATATGTTTTCTTACTCAATTTTGCTGCGTAGACTACTGGCACCAAAGCACCATCGACGTTTCTGTTGTGGTGCAGTCTGTACTTCACGTAATCACGTACGGCAGCAAAAGAAGCAGCAGGCCCCGCATCGCCCCAGTACCTTCTTACGTCCTTACCGGCCCATCTGCTTTTTTAGTTCGACAGTACGGTAGCTGTTTATCCAGAAGCAGAAGGTACGAGTAGGGCATTTTCTCGAGCGGGTGCACACGTGATTATGGTTTTCCCAAGAGGTATCGCACCTCTGTTCATATTTTTTCCATGATTGAAAGTAGTCTTGGAGCGGCTTCCGTGCGTTTGTGTGTGATACAGCTATCGATTCTCAGCCTGCTGGTTCACAGCACGGAATGCATTCCTACATGCACCGTGTACACACCAAATCCCTGCAACCGCGACTTAACTGCTGCCGTGCTCAACGTGCCCCCTTTCTCAGTCTTTTTCAAGACACACACACACGACCATGAGGTCCGCCGTAGTACTCCTGGGCTTCCTCCTCGCCTCGGCGCAGGCCTTCTACATCCCCGCCCGCGCCCGCCCGGCCTTGAACAGCCAGCCCTCCAGCTTCCTCGGCCAGACGGCGGCGGTCGCGCCGAGGGTAGCCCCCAGCGCCCGCCGCGCGATCCTTGTGGCCTCCCTCGAGGACATCGAGAAGAAGCTCATCGCCGACGAGAAGGCGAAGGCGGCGCCCAAGAAGGCCCCGGCCCCGGCGCCCGCGCCCAAGGCCAAGGCCAAGGCGGCTGCGACGCCCAAGGCCGCCCCGCCCGCGCCCGCGCCCGTTGCTGGTGAGAGAGAGCATGATTTGCGGCGATTGGTTTTGTACACTCATGATGTAGTTCAATCACCGATATTTCGATGCCATGTTTCTTGCTACTTGTTCTTTCAGGAAAAATATAACAAACACGGAAAGACTACCCATTCGGGATAAACCCACAGTATTTTCGGTTGTATGCGTAGCAGCACGCCGAACACGCAGCAAGTAACCTGGCAGTATTTCATGCTTTGGGGTGCCATGTGTTGGCATGTTCCTCCCTTCCGCGACCTTCCGCCCCATAATGACCTCAAATCGAGTAGTCTTATCCTCTCATCTATATTGTAGTACATACCTCTAGTGCTCTCGTTGCACCCCGTGCCCCCAACCCCTGACAATCCCCCGCCCCCCTCCCCTTACAACTCATTTTGACCCCCACTACCCCCCCCATGCATCCCCTTGCTGCCCCCCCCCCCCCCCCCCCCCCCCCCCCCCCCCCCCCCCCCCCCCCCCCCC